CTGCCTCCTTTCCTAAATTCCTAGCCGAGTTAGAAACTTCCTCGTTCCACGGGGTCATTCTCACCGGAACCGCCGAAGCACAACCCACCAGCCGTGATGTCGAGCTTCCACCGTAGCCCTCATGGCCTGTTTGTCTACTCCGTCGCTCCTTCAAGACAAGTCCGGAACTTACGTTACAATGAGCTCCGCAGAGCATGTCGCGAGGTATGGGATGCCATGAGTTTTGGGGAACGGCGCCCCTTCTGCGAAGCCGCCGCCGCCGCCCGCCGACGCGGAACCCGGGACCCGTTGCCGATTGCGGTCTGTGAGGAGCTCCTTAACCGTGTACGCAGCGTCGCGCGGTCTAACCGCCTAGACCTTTCCTCCTTGGATTTCACCGGTCCTTGCCGCGAAGTCCTCCAGGCCGCCATCGCCTCGTCCGCAACTCGCCCGCCGGTTTTCCAACCGCTGAACCCACGCTCCCCGCCAAGCCGAGCCGCTGATCACCCGCCTGCCCCGCCGACCGCCGACACGCCGCTCGCCCCGTCGTCTATCGCCCCCCCGAACGACGGCCATCCCTGCGTTGCCCAACCCCTCGTCACCGCTCTGGCGAACCTCCGCGTGGACGTCGGGACTCAGACCGACGCCCACGATTTGGGTTTGGGACGGAGTCGTCATCTTTCGCCGTTCGTCTGATCATATGTTTGGATGTAATATTATCTTTAATATATGTAATGGTACTATCCGTTGCTCGTTCTCTCCGCCCTCTCGTAGCTAGACCTCTAGCGGGTAGAGCCACTGCACCGGTCTCTGAAAGACTTGGCCTGAAGCCGTTTTGATGAGGCAGGATCGTTGCCGACGATCCGTTCTCTCTCCGCCAGAAAGACTCAGCACTCGACATAGAGGCCAACGCGCTTTCGAAGGACTTGGATCCTGCAAGAGGCATACATCGCCGACTTGCACGCTGCGCGACTCTGACGGATTCCTACTATGCGCGGTTCTCAGATACTGGATATATTCCTGCGAAAACCGCTTCTGGAAGGCTCGAATAACCGATTGCTGGTGTTTCCAACGCCTCGAAAAAACTATCGAGTTCGCTGCTTCTCGCGAATCTGGTTTGAATTTCATTTCAGGCAGGGTCGGTTTCGCTCTATGTCCGTAGAGTAGATCCGCCGGCGACAAAGCGCTGATCTCATTCGGATCGAGTTGCACCGCCATTTCT